TGGTTTTTTCGAGACAGGGTTTCTCTGTGTAGCCCTGGCTGTCCTGGAACTCACTCTGTAGACCAGGCTAGCCTCGAACTCTCGAACTCAGAAATCCGCCTGCCTCTGCCTTCCAAGTGCTGGGATTAAAGGCGTGCGCCACCACCGCCCGGCGAGATCTGTAAGTTAATGGATGACTTCTTCACACATTCGTAAAAGGAATCTATTCTGACCTAAAAATGCCACCAACTTCCACACGTTGGATATATACAGAATACCTAGTTGTAGACTTTAATTTAGGAATTGCCTCTAAGATGATAAAAATATGGCAAGAAATCCATACCTGACTAAGAAGTTGTCCGTGAAAAATGTTATTTACAACATTCAGAACTTGCTCAATAAGTCTTCTTTGGGATGTGGGGATGAGGGCTGGTAACTTGGTTCCGGTTGTCTCAAGTTCACGTTGTATCTTATCCAGAAGTTCACAAAGAAATTCCTGAGCATCTTGCTGGGCGTAACCACGGAAAGCAGGGATCAGCTTCCACACTGAGTGAAGCATAGCAAACGGCGAGACCAAGGCCCACTCTCCAGACCACATGACTTGGAACAGGGTATGTAATTCATGGCAGAGAGAACTGTATGGTGAGCTGGGCTCCCGCGGCTGAATAAGCTCCATGTTCCGCCCTTTTGAGGCCCCTCCACTTAGGCCTGATGATAAACCCGAAAGTCTGGAGCACGGGAAGCCTTTCTCTTTCTCTGGCCCTTCGTTCATCTGATGTGCTGCCGCCGCATCCGTGACGGCTGAGTGCTTATAGGATCGGGCCTTATCGCTGGCAGCCACAGCTAGCCATTGGTTCAGGTCCAGCTTTAAAAAACATTGTCGAAAAATGAGTAAATGACTCAACACTTGAAGAACAGAATTCATATAGCAAGTGTTTCCTAAATTTCTCAGTCCGGTTACACCAGGAGTTACTGCTGGCCTTCGTTTGATTAAGGAGTCACTTATGTTTTTAAGCTTTCCGTCTTCGGAGGTAGGTAGCGCGGCTTTATCCTTTGCTGGGGATGCTGGAGGTGGTGGCGGTACCTGCACTGGGACGATTTCGATCGTCGCTGCCTCAGACAGGCCTTGTAAGCGTAAACTCTTTCGCGGGGGTGTGCTTTCCAGCTCGGCTTTCATCTGCTCTATCTCCTGCTGCCTTCTCTTCGCTTCTCTTTTTGCTACCGCCCTCTCCTGAGTTTGCTCTTGCCTTTTTCTTCCAGTCGGTGACTGCTCAAACCAAGTTCGAAAGGTTTTCCCCATGAGCGCCCGTCTCCTGTGCCAGAGGGCAGTGCACATTGGATCTTCATTCCCAGGCAGAGATTGGGTGCCGTCGTGTAAGGAGTAAGAATCGTCCTGTGTATCCACAGGATGTAAAACCGAGTCACTCTGAACCACACAAGGGTAATTTTTACCTTTGATTGCACTTAGTGTAGTCCGTAGTGACTTCAGGTCTCCAGCGGCGTTATCGTTTAGGACATAATCGTTACAGAGATAACAGAAAACGTACATGTCGTTCACCTCGAATGCAACGGGATGGCTGCTTTCTTCAAAGTGCTTCAGTGCGTGCTTTTGGATATACTGCCCACAGGCCACGTGGGAACAGCTGAGGCAAGCCCAGATCGACTCGGTTGTGTTGCAGACCATACAGTACCATTTCTGAGGGTCCAGGATGGAATGGCCTTGAGCAAGCTGCAGCTGCTCAACGTGCTTGCACCTATCCATGGTTAGCAGGTATCTAGTCTGTCTGAGAAACACATAATTCAGACGGGCCTCTCTTCACAACACTGGAAGCATCTGAAAACTAAGACGAACAAGATCAAGGTCTTCGTAAGATCTAAGCGAAGATTCCTCATTTCTAATTTCCCAAGGTTAATATTATAAATTTTCTGCCTCTCAATCTTATTTCTGCATTCTCTGACACAATACTGGAGGCTGTTCTCCCTCTCCATTTTTTGGTTTTTCTGTTCTCTCTCTCTCTCTCTCTCTCTCTCACACACACACACACACACACACACACACATTTATACTTGTGTATGTTAGCAGTATGAGCAGTTTAAACAAACTGGAGTCACACTGGGAGGCCTGTAACAACATAGGTTTACATATAGGCATATATATGCTCATACATATAAGACCATATATATGCATATATTTGGGCTTATAAATAGGTACAGCCTATTACATACAGTTGCTAGTAAGACACTGATGATTAATATATACCTACATCCTTTTATGTGTTGATGAAAACCTCCCGAGATCACTGTATCTCTAGTCTGTGTATATGGAGGCTTTGCATGGGCACATGGAAACGCACCATGGGCATGCCTGGGCCCTTGGAGGTCAGGAAAGGGTGCTGGATTCCCCAGAAACTAGAGTTGTAAGGTGTCACGTGGTTTACATCAACTGAAGCCGGATCCTGCAAGCTTGGGCTCTTTACTACTGAGCCATCTCTCCAGCCCTTGGGATCACTCTTGAATTTACCCTCCAGATCAGAGAGATTACTCAGAGGATTACTCATCTCACCTGGATTATTACCATGAGGCTTCTAAACGGGTTCCTACTTCTACACGCACTGCTATCAAAAGTTTACTGCACACACAGGGGCCAAACGGACGGCACAGCTGTTAAGAGAACTGGCTGCTCTTCCACAGGACCTGGGGTTCAGTTCCCAGCACCAACATGGCAGCTAACAACCTGTAACTTGAGTTCCAGAGGATCCAACACCCACTTCTGGTCTCCACAGACACTGCACACAAATGGTACACAGGCATTTACCCATACACATAAATACCCATACACATAAAATTACATCTTTTTGAAAAATTCAAAGCTTACTTCACACAGCAGTATTTTGCCTCTAGACTCAAAATAACCAGAGCCTAGACCCGACACTTAAGATCTTTATTCTGGCCCTCCCCTTTTTGTGTTGAATCAGCAGGGCCAAAGGGATGTACACACACACACACACACACACACACACACACACACACCTACCTACCTTTCTACAACCACCCCTGTTTACCTGGGTCTTGGAGGATTCTTGGTCTGCATCACTCCTCAAATTGTCTACGGGTAATATGAAGTCAGCAAAGAATTCTGTGGAGGAGAATGGATAATCAGTTCTCTAGGTGACAGAGCAAACTGATGGCAAAGAGGCTTGAAAATTAGGAGAGCATGGCTTTCACGGCGGAGCAGTTTTGAAGAAGGGAGCAGAGACAGAGTGCTTCAGAGACAAAGGCCTGCTACCCACGGGCCAGTGCTCTGGCCTCCACATGTACTGAAGCACACACAAACAAACAATGGAATTATAAAAAATGCAGACAAGAGTACTTGGCTGCTCTTCCAGAAGATCCTGGTTCAATTCCCTGTACCCTCACAGTGTCACAGTCACCTGGATCCGGGGATCCAACGCCCTCTTCTGGCCTCCAAGGGCACCAGGCATGCACATGGTACAGATTAATACATACAGGCAAGGCGCTCATACAAGTAATACAGTGTTAAAGGTTTAATACAGTGAAGGGCTGGCAAGATGGCTCAGTGGGTAAAGGTGTTTGCCACCAAATCTGAAGTTACATCCCGAAGGACCCATGAGGTGGAAGGGCAGACTCTAGTCTCACACATGGCCTCTTGATCTCTCCGTGAGGACTATGACATACACATGCCTATACACAAAATAAATAAATGTAATTTTAAAATGCAGAGAAAACATAGCTACAAATTAGGTCTCTGGAAAATAAGATCAGACAATAACTATTCATTTAAGTCCTTGAAGGGCCGATAGAGAGTGCTATCATCAAGAAAACTTACTTTAGAATTCTCCTTTCTTTTGGTTTTCTGAGACAGGACCTCACTATTAAGCTCAGGTTGGCCTTGAACTCTCAATTCTTTGGACTCCACAGCCTTCTAAGAGACGGATTACAGGTGCATCCCAGTGCACAACTAGCTCACTATAGAAAACAACAACAACAACAAATTGTTTTGAGGCAGGGCTTCATGTCTCACAGGCTGAGCTCAGTTTTACTATAATCTGAAAGTGATCTTAAGTTTCTGATTCTCCTGCCTCCACCTTCTGAGCGCTTTGGACGATCCTGGGACTTTGTACACAAAAGGTGGGCATTCTAACGGCTGGACTACATCCCTAGGCTCATTGATTTAAAAAAATAAAAGTTTAGAGGGTTGGGATGAGTTAATACCTTATACAACACTCAGAAGAAAAGATTCAACGGGGAAAGGCCTGTGATGGATTTATCATGGGGTTATGGCTGGATAACCACTTTGGCAAGATTGTGCCTTTTTATCCATACACATTTCACATTCTTGAAAACAAGGATGGTAACTATAGACATCTCAGGTGATCACAGCTACGGACAATAGTTTAATACATAAAGGCAGAGTTCTAGGCTGGATGTGGTGGCCCACACGTTTAATCCCAGTGTTTGGGAGGCAGAGACAGGAAGATCTCTGTGGGCTTAAGGCCAGCCTGACCTACTCAGAGTTCCAGTGTAGCCAGGGCTACATACTATGAGACCTTATCTCAAAAACTACTGAATTCTACATTCATTTCCTTATTTGGGTTGTTATTCTCCCAGGAGTAACAAGCAGATTTGCCTATTTCATTGCAATTGGTACTTTAAAATTTTTTACTTCGATGGTATCTGTGATATCAAGTGCCAATGCTACTCAATGAAAACTTAGTCAGAGGTCATTTCTCGGACATATTAAAGTATGGGAGAGATGTCACAGGAAAATGGTTTTTAAAAGCATTCTTTGGAGTCAGAACTTACTATATTACACGGCCAGACAACTCATTTGGAGCTCCTGATGTAGCGCTCTGTGAGCAACTGCCAATTTGGCCCCGGCTTTCCTCCCCTCCTGCTCTTGCCCGGGGCATCTACCACTTACTGCCTGACAAAGCTACAAACCAGAGTTGTTTTATTTCAAAGTAACCCTGGAAGGAATATCAGTGAGGTTACAGGCATATTTATATCTGCAACACACAGAACACTTCCTAGCAATAACACAGCCTTCAGTATACCTTAATTGCCAACGATAACTTAAAAACAAACAAACAAACAAACAAACAAAAACAACCAAGAATTAGAAGAAAAACTGTTGGCTGGGATTGTAGCTCCGTAGGAGAGTGCATGTCTAGCAGATTCAAACAAGAAATAATAATGCTTGCAGACAGGAGCCAAGCCTAACTGTCATCTAAGAGGCTTTACCCAGCAGCTGATGGAAACAGAGGCAGAGACCCACAGCCAGACATTAGGTGGGGCTCTGGGAGTCTTGTTGGCGAGTGAGGAGAAACACTGAAGGAGCTAGAGGGGGCAAGGACACCATGAAAATACCTACAGAGTCAACTAAACTGGACGTGTGGGGGCTCCCAGGGACTGAACCACCAACTAAAGAGCATGCAGGGGGCTAGACCTACGCCCCCTATACATAGACAGCAGAAGTGTGGCTGGTCTTCACGTGGGTGCCCTAATAACTGGAGTAGAAGCTGTCTCTGACTCTCTGGCTTGCCTTTGGGTCCCTGTCCCCTAACTGGGCTGCCTGTCTGGCCTCAGTGGGAGAGGATGCACCTAGTCCTGCTGCTAGACTTTGATGTTACAGTGTGGGGGCAGGGGGTGTGAGGGTAGAAGTGGGAGGAGAAAAGGGAGGGGGCTAAGATCGGTAAAGTGAATAAATAAAAAAAATTAACATATTGTAAGTTATAATTTCCTTCATGCTGACCACTTCTTTTCAGAATTCCTTCTTTTTAGCCAAATCAGGGATTAGTGGATGTCAGAATGCTATGAAGAGGTTGGGCATGGAGGTGTACACTTTTAATTCTAGATGAGACAGGCAGATCTCTGAATTTGAAGCCAGTCTGGTCTACATGGTGCACTCCAGGCCAGTCAGCGCTACTTGGCTTGTCTAACAACAAAGCCACACCAAGATCTAACCTTTTGCATTTTAAAAGGAGTCGCATCTTTTTAAAACCTAAAGATGGGTGAAACAGATGGTGGAATCATGGATCAGGAGAGTTTTTGGAGCAGGCAATCTGTCTGTACTATCAACTACTGAAAGAGGGCAGTAAGCCATGGACACCCAGGGCAAGAGAAGGAGGAAGGGAGGGCCAAGGTGGTAGTTCTGCCCCGCCCCAAATCCAATCCTCTCTCCTGCCTGAGCCTCAGCTCAGAGGAGGCATTAACTCTGCTTGGCTGCAGAGCATCAAATATACGGCGTTGGCATGTGCATCTGAAAGAGCTATGACAGGATAAAAACGCGGACATCGCTCCCAGATTCGAGTGAAATACTACTAGTGTGTATGTAACAGCGCTAAATACTTACGATGCTCTCAGGGAAATGTGCCCTGGAGGGATTCAGATGACCTGTGCAACCATCCTGTACACTTTTACATGCCACACACGACCTAAGGGGCTATTAAATGGCTTTTTAAAACCACCATATGCATCTTTAGAGACAGGTGTACTTACAAATGTTATAAAGAACTTTAGGCTCTTTTCCAGTGTTTAAAGACAATAAATTTTTAATTTGTTCACTGCACTGACTTGATAACTTCATGCCCCAGTGAACAGGGATCACGAGTAACAAATACACGCGGGAACAAAATTTTATAAATAAGTCTTGTAAGAATCATGTAGTCTGAACATTATACTCAAGCTAATTTCTTAAAATGTGCTAGTCATAAAGAAGTAGAGATGGTTCAGCAGCTAAGAGAGACAAATCTTCACCCGCCATGTGTCTAAAAGAGGACTTGTCTCTAGAATATACAAAGAACTAAAAAAACTAAACGAAATAAATAATCCAATTTAAAAATAAACACAGAGTGAGGTTGTGAAGAGAATTCTCAGAAGAAATAGAAAGGTCAGGCTTGGGGTGGCACGCGCCAATGATCTCAGCACTCAGGAGGCAGAGGCGCGTGGCTCTCTGTGAGTTCCAGGGCAGCCAGGGCTAGAGAGTGAGACCCTGAGTCTCTAAAAAAGAGACAGAAAGAGAAAAGAGAGGAAGGAAAGGGGAAGGAAAAGAAAGGAAAGGAGAAAGAAGGGAGGAAAGGAAGACGAACAGACAGAAAGATCAACATACAAAAAGACAACAACAAACCCCAGACGTTGTGGGAAAGAGGAACAGATAACCACTGCTGAAGAGAATGTAAACTGGTCTTACGAGAAAAATCAGCATGGAGTTTCTCAATAAGCTAAAACCAGAACTTTTACTGTCTACATACCTGTGGACTTTCTAGTTTTCCACACTTGCACAAGAATGGTATTAAACTCTGACATACAGCATCTAGGGTTTATCTAGCCTACATGGCCAAACTCTTTCAACGCTCTCCATCAGCAAACCACTTCCAATGGAAAAGCACTTCCAATGGACTACAAAGCCTGTGGTCGTGGCAATGGCCCCGCCTCTGGGGACCATCTTTCTACATTGCTTTTCTTGTGACTGTGGTAACAGCAGTTTCAGGAAGGAAGGGGTTTTCTCCTGGCTCACAGTTTAATAAAGACAGTCACTGTGGGAAGGGGACGGCTCGTAGCCTTGACTAGCATCTCAGTGAACAGAAAGCAAACAGCAGAGAGCGCTGAGGCAGGAAAGGGAACTACCTCTACAATGAAGTATCTCTGAGAATTCCTTCAAAGACACACTGTACATGAGTGTCTCTCTCCTAGGTTATTCTGAATCCAATCAAATGGAGAGTGAAACTAACCATTATAGTAGCTATATTTTCTTACTCCAAAATTTAGTTATTTCAGGAGTGTGGGCAGATGGCTCAGTAGTTAGGGCACTTGCTGCTATTCCAGAAGACCTGGGTTTAGTTCCCAGAACCCAAGTCAGGTGGCTCACAACTGCCTGTAACTCCAGTTCCTGAGGATCTAATGCTTCTAGCTTCCAGGCGCATTTGCACTCATATACACATATACGGACATGTAATTAAAAATTTTAATTATATAGCTGGGCAGTGGTGGCGCACGCCTTTAGTCCCAGCACTTGGGAGGCAGAGGCAGGCGAATATCTGATTTTTGAGGCCAGCCTGGTCTACAGAGTGAGTTCCAGAACAGCCAGGGCTACACAGAGAAACCCTGCCTCAAAAC